GCTTCTGTTCACAGATATGTGAAACAATTTCCCCATCCCGGCATCATCAGAGGCACTTAGCTGACTCCTTACCCTGGCTCTCTGGTGGTCTGATTTCCTGCTGCAGGGACACAGTGCCCAGCCCTCAAAGGAGATTTAATGTGGCTCACAGAGTCAGAGGGCACAGTCTGTGCTCAGCTGGCTGCAGGGCAGAACCATCCTGATAGAAGGGTGTGGTAGAGAAACCCATTGCCTGGTGCCAGGAAGCACAGTAGGGGAGCGGCCTGAGAGGAGGGGGCAAAGGCCACACCTCCCCAAAGACCCCCAAGGCCTCCGAGGCCACACCTCCGGGACCCACTCAGACACACCCAGAAGTGTGCTTTACTGATCCCCACATGACTTCAGCAGTCTAATGGACAGCAGCTGTCACAGCTATTGAGAATAATTCTGTGGTGACTATAGGAGCACAGATGTGTCTCCCACGTACTGACCTCAGTTCCTTTGGATACACACCCACCAGGGGAGCTGCCTGGTCATTCTTCTTGTGCTCATTTTTGAGGGATCTCCATTCTATTTCCCATTACAGTAGCATCGTTTTAGGTTTCCTCCAATAGTATACAAATTTTTCCTTTTATCTGCATCCTCGCCAGTACTTTTCAATCTCTTTTTTTGACATTGGCCATCTAGACAAGTGTGAGGTGACATCTCACTGTGGTTTTGATTTGCCTTTGCCTTTTGGTTAGTGCTGTTTAGTGCTGACACCATCTGTGTGTCTTCTTGGGAGGTGTGTCTACTTGAGCCTTTGTCCTTTCAAAAATTGGATAATTTGTCTCTTGATTATTGAGTTTCTCATCTATTTTGGAAACTATTCCTTTATCAGATACTTGGCTTACAAATATTTTCTCCCACTTTGTGGGTTGCCTTTTTGTTGTACTTTTCCCTTTACTTTGCATAAAATTTTTAGTTTAATCCAAAGTAAGAAGTTCCTTTAAAAAGACAAATGATTGCCTTGTCGGCAAGACAGATTGTAGGGTGGGCCAGCTGAGGATCCCTGGGGGTGCATGTCCAACACTGTGGTAGAGCCTGCAGCTGCCTCATCTGAGGGCTGTGGCATCTACTCCCTTTTCCCAAGGTGAAGAAGCAGAGCATGGGCTCCTGGCACTGTCTGCATCTCTCTCCCTCTCCCCTCGTGCTCTTGGTCCCTGTCTTTTCTTCTATTTCTTAGGTTTCTTTCTGGCTTTGATTGCCTTGTCCAATGATGAGTTTGAAGCTCGCTTTTGAAGATGGGCTTGGCCCCTCTTATTTGGATACTTGGATCTCCTTAAGGATGAAGCTTTCATTGATTTTCTGATTCTTTCTGTGTCTTGCAGCCCTGCACACCAGCTGTGGATCAGCTGGACACAGGGAAATGCTCAGCTCTGGGGAAGTCACAGTTGATTGACAGGGTGGGGAAGGGAGAGTTGGATGTGGTCATCATGGGCTTTCTAGAGGATTCTGAGTGTGGGGTCTCTGTGGCACTGGAAGAGGTTGCATTCAGGCTTGGAGGAAGGGAGTAATGTTTCCACCAGAAGGTTTTTTTTTTTTTTTTTTCAATAGTGGGAAGCATTCAAGGGACCAACTCCTGACAAAGAACTGAGAGAGAGGTCTAAGAGAGAGGTCATGCACCCACGTTCATAGCAGCTAAGAGGCAGGTCCCCACTGGGAGGATGGCACTGAGCTGCCCCTGACTATGTGCATCAGGGGAATCTCAGCCACTGTAGGGGCAAACCTGGCCATCCAGAGCACATACCCCACCACTTCCTACAGGGCTGTGACACCTGCACCCTTACCCCATGCCCACATCACCCCAAAGCCAGATGCCAAGAGGCAGCCCTGCTGGCAGTCTGCAGCTTGTACCAACTCATCAGTTCTGGACTCACTTCCCTTCTTCTTCTGTTGCTTCCTTGGAAACCACGGTACAGATTCAGAGGCTGTTCCCCATCATCCCCACCATCTCTCATCACCTGGAGCCCCTCCATGTGGTCCTGTGTGGCCTGCTGTCCTCCCTCCTCTGAGATCTGTTAGTTACAAACTGGCTTTTCAGTGACCACAGAGTCTCCTGATCTGTTGATCACTTTATCAAAGAATAAAAATAAAACATGTTTAGAAAACAGCCATTCTGAAAGTGCCCACTGAAAGTGCCCTTCCCACATTTCTAAAGCACCCTGAGAGCATTTCACCATGTTGGGAATCACTGTTTGAAAGTGTCCTGTGGGTAGAAGGATGTCCCTATATGGAAAATGGGAATGCTCCCCTCTCCACACAGACATACAGCAAACTCCATGCAGATCATGCTTTCCTCTGTTTTTCCATCTTTCTTTGTTAAGTCACAGCACAGCACAGTGTGACCCCAGCACCCCCAGCCTGTGTGGATGGGGTGCAGGAGAATTCCCTGGCCATTTGGAGCTGACCCACAAGCATCTGGTCTAGCCCAAGAGTTTTCATTTTCATAAACTCTCTTTGCTCTTTCTAATTAAATCAGATTATGCTCGGTCAGTCTGATTTCATTGACTTCTTCTTTTATCACTGTCAGTTTTCTTGGAGGCGGTACTAATTAGCGGCCTCCGTAAGCCAGCAGGCCGTTCCCTGGAGGAGAAAAACTCGGTGGAAACTGAGGACCTGTGCACGTATTAATGTGCCCAGCTACATCTGGTGATGTGAGTGGGGTGCACGGGCTTTGAGAGTGCACATAAAACAAGTTCAGACTTGTGAGCAAAAGCAGACAACAGAGGAGAGCAGAGGAACCTCCACAGCACATGGATTTGGCAGGAGTTTGCTTAATTAGATTAACAGGTTAATCAATGCTATTAGAAGATAATGGACAGATGAGCCCAAGATAGCTTATTTAACATACAAATCTTTAAGTTTTGACTTATCTCTATTTTCTTTTTCTCCTTTGAAAAGCCTCCACTTTGCCTTCCCTCTTGTGTCTGAAGCCATGGCCCTATGTCAGGCCTCCCTGTAACCACTGGGGGCCACTCTGTACTCTTGGAACTCTGTTATGTTGATACATTGGTTCAAATGGAGAAGTTTAGGAGTTTAACTAAGACTCAGCAGGGAGCCAGAGCTCTTACTTCATAAACATCCTGAGCCTGTGCAAGAGGAGGACACAGAGGTGGTGTGAATGCTGTACCCACCCTGGTGGCTGGTAGGTGGTAGCCTGCTTGCAATATAAGGAGGAAAAGAGGCTTGCTCTTCCCCATTTGCTCTTGCTGCTTTGCTGCCTTCTGCCTTGAAGTGTTGCCCTGTGCCATGCCACCATGTCTTGGAGCCAGCTGATTATAGACTGAAACCTCCACAAACAGTGAGCTCAATAAACCTTTCCTTCCTTCCTTTTGGGTGCCTGGTATTTTGTCTCAGCCAGGAGAGAAAAGTAACCAACACAATCTCCTTTTGGTGCTACTAGGCAGCTGCCTCCCTGCCCTTGGCCTCCACAGTCTGCTGTGGTGCAGAGTTCAGGTTCTTAGAGACAGACCAGTGGGATGCTGCCTCTCTTCTGCCCCTCCTCCCTTTCCATTAGGAAGGTAGAAGCCACAGTAAGACTGGCACATCAAGGGGTACAGACCCATGTCAACTAATACAATCAGGCCCCTGGACAGTGCCTGGGACAGCGTGCCTGTGCACCGTCAAAGGATGGGAAGGGATATCTGGATCAAAGCAATGGGGGCATGGTTTCTAGGGTCCTCAAGAACCTCTGCCTGTGGTTATCACATGCTGGGTGGTTGAAATGCAGGTGTGACTCTCACTGTCCTGGAGGCTGGGGTCCCAGGTATCTGCAGACTGGGTTTCATTCTGTGGCTTGTGGCCGTCTTCTCCTCATGTCTTCACGTGGCCAGGCCCCTGTGTACCAATGTCTGATGTCTTCTGATCAAGACACAGGTGTATTTGTGTTCAGACCTGCCCTGAGTTCCTGTTCTTTTAACATCCTCTATCAGGACCTTTATTCTAAATCCAGACCCGTTTTGAAAGAAATGTTCAGGGGTACGACTTCACCATGTGAATTTTGGGGGACACAGACCCGGAGCCAGTGTTCAGCACTAGGACCCCAAGCACCCCAACACGCTCTGCTCCTTCAGGAGGGATAGGCCTGTGTGTTTTCCTTTGAGTGTGTGATCATGGGTTAAATATTCTGATTAGAAACTGTAGGTGCTTATAAGGTCTCCTTTGCTTGACGGTCAAAGTCATAAAATAGTATTCATGTGAGTCTTTCTTATTCCAATCACTTGTAGAATTCAGGCCTTTGGGTACATTATACTCATCAATCTTAACCTAGAATGGGCACATTAAAGAAAACTGGAAAGTGTTAATAATTCAATTCCCTTTCATTTTGACATAGAATAAAGGCAAAGTGACTTAAAACGGGCCAAAATGAATTTGGAGAATACGTTTGAAGAATGGTGATGGGTTTCATATGGAAATGTTAGTGTTATGAATTATTCTTCTTTGTAGAAATTTTAATTGATTAATTCTTTGATGCACTTACTTCAAGCTCTTTCTCTTATCTGGCAATCCACACAAACATCAAAGATAGGCAAAGAGAGCCATGTGGCAAAATAGGCCGGCACTGTGGGAGGGGGTGAGATTTTACTCCTGGCAATACTCAGCATTTACCCCAAAAATGTTTGTTGATTCCCTCTCTGGGGCTCTTGGGGGATGGATGTTGGGGTGCTAGCTGGCTTGATTTAGGCCAAGGAGGGAGATTTGGGGTTCACTGCAGGGCTGATATGCTATTCCCAGGACACTGCTGGTTTGCCTATGGGATGCATGTTGAGAGCATTAATGGTAAGTAGCATTTAAAGAGGGTCAATACGCACTATGCATTTGTGTCAGTTTCCTGTGGCCCATGTATTTAATGTGTCCCACAAATATTTGCTAAGTAAGGAGAGGAGTTTTTGTACTCACACAAAATGTTATAGAAATCTCATTTCAATGGGAAAAAACCTGCATTATTCAGCTGATTTTCATTGTATCTTACTGTTCAGGAGCTTTTGGATTGAGGAAACCATGGTATTTCCCCCTGACTGCATCATACTGGAAAAGTGTGTGTGGCCTGGTGGAGAAACAGTGGCATTCTCCAAGCCCCAGCCTCTGCTTTTTCACTGAGGACTTTGGCAACAAAGGTTTGTAAAGGAGTAACACTGTCGAATACATGGTGTCCTGTCCCTCTGCCCTGGGAAGCTTTCTCTTTCTGTGTGAACCTTTATAACTTGGTTGAGACCTGGAAGTCACTTTGAGGCTCTCTCTGTCTCAAAGACAGCTACAGGGTTACCTGTTAAGGCTTGGGTCCCCTAGTTCTGTTCAGTCTGCATCACCCCAAGACCCCTGGAAGGGCTCCTGTTCTGTATCATTTAGGGCATTCTTTTCTATATTTTTGCATGTGTGCACATCTGAGAATTCTGTACAATTGAATAGTGTGAAATAAACATGTGCAAAAACAAAAGCAAAGGTTGGCAGCTGCCAGGTGGAGATGTTAAATATTTTCCCACCTGCTGACCTCAGGACAGAGGGGTTTCTCTTCCACGTACAAATGAGGACATTTTCAGGATGCTTGGAGGCTCCCAGGACACAGATGCAGGATACTCCCTGTCCTCTACTTGGCACTCAGGGCCAGTCTTGTGGACTGGGCACACAGGCGCTTTTGCAAAAGGACCAAGCAGCGAGTTTAGGTGTGAAAATTGATACTCCACCGCGAGCCAGCAAGTTCTCAGGACAGCAGCGGTGTGCTAGGTCAATATTGGAACTTCAATTTTATTTCTCAGATAAACAAGTAAAATATGAGCCTTTAAGAAAACTGGCAACACCTCAACCAGCGCCTCCCCACTCCTCCTCCAGATGGTATGTCCTGTGGACATTTTGTGTGTAATGAACCTGACTCTTGTTCAGTCTCTGCAGCTACGTAAATACCTGTGGGCGACTTCATTTTTCTGCAGACTGGTTCTCACTTAGTAAGGATTCAAAGTTTTGTCATCTGCGATTTCATGTTTCAGTCACTGTAAAACTTCCCTCTTGTTTTGAGCAAAGAAAGACGCTTGAACCATGTGGCGCATCTTGCGGACTGGAATTCAGTTGCAAAGAGAGCAACCAAGATAAATTCTCACCTTCCTCCTAGGGTCTTCACAGCAGAAGAGGAAAGGAGAGCTTGAGGAGGAGTCCCTGGGGGTCGCCCTGGTGTCTGTCACCAAGAAGTATGAGGGCCACGAGGTGGCAGTGAAAGACTTGACCCTCACCTTCCACAGGGGCCAGATCACAGCCCTCCTGGGGACCAATGGTGCCGGGAAGACCACTGTCATGTGAGTCCTCTTTACCTTCCTTTCCTTCTTAAAGACCGGTCGCCTGTGACATGGAAAGTTAAGATTTTTTCCCCTTTTTTGTTTCCTTTGAGTCTCAGTACCTACTCAGGAGACACAGGACAGACTGACCTTTCTCCCTAGCACTGCCCTGGAACCTTAATCACACAATTACATTTTAGACCTGCAGTCAAAGAGGTAGAGATGGATGGTTGAACTTTAAAAATTACCTGTGTCTTTCATTTTTTCTTTCACTATGTTGTGCTTTGCTAGTTGAAAGCCCTTCAACACTTTTAGTTTCCAGTGCACTAAGTGTAATTTTGTGTCTGTAAGACAGTGATGGGGAGGCTATTTGTGAATTCTTTAATTATCTGGGGGTTTTTGTGCCACTGTTCTTAAGGTGTGTTTTTTGGTTTAGCACCTGAAAGCTCCTGGTGGGATTCTGGACCATTCCCCTCCCACCCAGGACACAGGGAGTTCAGACACTCAGGCCTCCCGCTCACCATACATCTCAGGGTTTGAGTGAGGCTCAGCTAATCTGAGCTGAAAGGAAGAGGTGGATGCAGGTACTGTTTGATGGACTCTGCAGGCCTGGCCTGGAGGTCTGGGCATCTACCTGGAGGACGGCAGTGTGCCCTGTGACACCTGGGGGGTTTCCTTCCATCTTGTTTTTCAAATCCAATGTTTTCTGCCATTTTTCTGTTTTGTTTTAGTCCTGTATCTGGTAACTTGAGCAACTGTTTTGAAGATAACCATGTGCAGTCTAACAACCATTGCTAAGTTCCTATTGTTTTGAAAACCTATATAGCTATTTTTTGTCATTTTCCTTTTGTTGTTTTTTAGATTTGTTTGCTTCTTGTTTGTTTTTTGCATTTTGTTTTTAAAATACAATTTAAAAACACCAAAAAGAAAACCCCACCAAAATTATAGAACATCTTTCAACAAATCACTTTCTTTTTTTCAGAGTATATGAAATACTAACATAGGATTAGCAAAAAAAAAAAAAAAAAAAAAAAAAAAAAAAAAAAAAAAAAAAAACAAAAACAAAACCAATAAAACAGACTTTTCTTCCATCTTATTGCAAATGATAGAAAAATAAACACATAAGAGGCTTTAGAAATCTCACACTAGAAACAAACTGTAGGGAAAAATATGAACTTTTTTGTTTTGTTATTTTGGGTGCCAAAATGGAACTGAAAACTCTCCAAGTTGTTTTCCCTGTCTGTGTGTGTTTGCACACTGGGCGAGGATAAGTTACACAAACAACAATCCCAAAGCTGGCAAAACTCACCCTGCTTTCACTGGTACAGCAGCATTCTCACAGGGAACTCTGGGATGCTTGTTGGCAGAGCCAGGCAGACTGAACTTGGGGTGTCCAGATGTTTCGGGGCTACTGGCCCGAGCTGCTGTTAGTGCCCACTGGAGCACGTCTGAGTTACCCTAGTGCCTGTGTCTGCCTGGCAGAGGTTGAGCAAGAGGCCAATGAGTGAAATGGATCCTCGGCATCTGAAGCAAAGGCTTTGAGGTTCAGGCGGGGCGTGGAAAGTGGCCTCCCCTCTCCACAGCTCCCATCCAGACTTAGCCACCTGGGGATCAAACGTACTTGAAAACACACTGCACCTGTGCTGAGGTGCACAGACCTGTCCTTATTTCCTAGGTAACAGGACAGCTATTTGTGCAGCATTCACATTGCATTAGGTCTTCTAGGTCACTTGGAAGAGATGTAACATATGTAGAGGAGGGCACAGGTTCCGTGCAGATACTTTGCCAGGGTTTTTGGAGCAATTTGAGCAACTGGAGACTTTGGTGTCCATGTAGGTCCTACAAGCAGCCCCAGAGGACACTCAGGGACCACGATATAAACTATTATATTGTATTCCAAAAAACATGGCTGCATGTAACATAGCAGACTCATCACTGAGGTCCCCAAAGCGCACTCTGCTATAGCAGACAGAGTCAGTTTACGGGCACTGTTTCACGAGGTGGGACACATTTGTTTCGTGCTTGCAGAAGCCCTGCACCACTTTCTCTTTTCCTCCAAGGCTGCCTCTGTTGTCCTGTGGCCCTGGTGCTCCATGGCCCTTAAGATGCCGACTGTAACTGTCAGCTGTGAACTTCTTGCTCTGCTCAGACAAGCTTGGCTGCTCTGTCCTATGTGCTCAGGCCTGTGATTGCTGAGTGGTATCCTCCTCCACTGGGCAGTGAAGTTTGGTCACATTTCCTGTGCTGGTGGCAGCTGAATCTGCTCTCAGTTTTCAGTGACTGTGAACACAGCTGCTGGAAGCCTCGGTGTCCCTTCCCTGGTACTGCACATGGTTTAATTTCTCTGGCATAAACACTAAGGAGCAGATTTGCTAGGTTCTGCGGTAAATGCATACTTTTTGCATATCGGAAACAGCTTAAATAGACCATGTAGATAGTGAGCTTTTTGAGACAGGGAAGCAGAAGTAGCCACCCTTAGGCTTCCTGGGGTACAGTGAGGTGAGTGATTTTCTGGGGACTGGGCCCTGGGGTTCTCTGGTTGTGGCAGGGACTGATGATCCCAGAGAGCAGAAGAAAGACTTGGACAACTTGGAGTCTGGGTTGGCATTTCTGTTCACTTATATCAAATTATGAGGACTTTGGTAAGTATATCAGTGTTTTATTTGTTTTCTTCTCCACAAAAGCAAGGTTGAATTGTCTCCAAAAGCCTGGGTGGTCTGTGATCACAGCGTAGCCTGTACAGTGTGGGCACCATACACACATATTAATGATCAGCTTCCTTGAAGTGCCTCAGGTGTGTTCTGTGCAGAGGTCCCCTGGAGTTGGCTGGTTACTGACACTGAGTGCCAGCCACATCAGCCACTACAGTGCTCTGAGTTCCCTGGGTCTGTTCTCCCTGCAGATCCATGCTGACTGGGCTCTCCCCTCCCACCTCTGGAACCATCCTCATCAATGGCAAGAACCTGCAGACGGACCTGTCCAGCATCCGTGCAGAGCTGGGGGTGTGTCTGCAGCAGAACGTCCTCCTGGACAACCTCACTGTGTGGGAGCATCTGCACCTCTTCGGGTCCATAAAGGCGCCACAGTGGACCAGGCAGGAGCGACAGCAGCAAGTTGACAAGTGAGTGACTGTGTCTTCACCTCTCCCACTTGTCACATCCAGAAGTGATGATGATAGAGACACTTTGCACAGTCAGCTGTGCCTGTGATCTGAGAGTTTAATTAGGGCAGCCAGCAGCATTGGCGGTTCTAGAGAAGGGTGTCACTGAATGTAGTTTGTCCTTGATGTGGACAGGGCACGGGACAAGGAAAGGCATAGGCTGTGTGTGGAGGTGTGAGTTCCTGTGTGTTCTGAGATAAAAGGATGCCAAGGCAGGCAGGAAAATGAGTCAGGAAGGTCTTGTAGACACACTAAGGGCTGGGGCTCGGTGGTGCAGGTAAGTGTCACTGAACAGGGTGCTGTGACTGGCCTGAGGTACAGAAGGTGGTTCTTAATGTACCCCAGGCACCCCAGCCATTGAGGACTGGACAGGATAGGCCGTGTTCCCTGCTGTTTGCTTCTACTTCACCAGAGTCACAGGTGGCAGGAGTGCTAATAATAAATCAGCAGCAGCAGATACAGGAACATGCGCCACACTGTCACAGGCCACCAAGGACAGTGGACACTCCAGCTTGGAGCACATTTGGTTGGGATTGTAAGAAGACTGTGGAGCAGGGCTGAGAGGAGAGGCCCTGAGCAAGCCAGGGCAGTGATGCAGGGAGGGTGGGTGCTGGGCCCTCGGTAGCTTGCAGAAGCGAGCAGAGGGGTTGAGAAAGAGCCCTGTGGAAGCCTCCAGTGTGTCTGGAAGGAGGTACCAACAGGAGGAGCACACTGGTGGGGACCACAGGAGTGGTCTCATTCCTGGGAGACAGAGGGCTCATCCAGTTTGCAGATGAGGCAACGGGGCCCAGGGAGATGGGGAGCGAGGATGTGGTCGGGGAGGCGGGATGCTAAGTACACCCAGCTGCTCGCCTTCAGAGTGGTTGCTGTGTGAGAGTGTGTGGGATGGAGGCACCAGGAAGGTGTCTCTTGCTGGGGACCAGAAGGGGATTCTCCAGCATGTGGCTGGTGCTATTGACCCTACTGCATTGAGGACAGCCCTTAGGTCTGGGAAGTGAAGGAGGACTTGTTATCAGATGCTTCCCCTGGTTCCAGTGAATACAAGGTATGGTGGCTTCTAGATGTAAGCCTGTGGCTGTGATGGGCAGGACAGGTGGCCCCATAGCACCCTGCAGTGAGGCTCACATGGGGCTGACAGAGCTCTGGCTCTTCATGGACCAGGTCTGTGCATCATATCCGGAAGGCACCTTCCCTGAATGAGGTCTTCTTCAGGACCGGCTGGGTTCCTCATAAACGGGAAGAACCCACACACAGGCTTGGGTTGCCCTGATCCTTTCTCCATAGAGGGCAGCTAAGATATGACAATCGGTGTCCCCAGGGAGCCATCCGGTACCAGGTGAACTTCCCAGCCTGGGAACCTGTCTGTGTTTGTTTAGATTACCTTAGCTTGTAATCGGTGGCTGCACTTAGACACCAGTGGTGACAGGTTCCTGGGCAGAGCAAGTCAAAGTTCTCTCTGAATGGATGCTCACACCATGGCGTTCAATGCAAATTAAATCTGGGCTCATGGATGGAACCCCTCAGGGGCAGGGGCTGCCATGCGCAGTGGTATGTGCCGCCACAGTGCTAACTCAGACAGCTCTTTCTTCGTTTCGTGTCTTTTAGATTTAGCATGTTGAGAGGCATTCTCCACTGTAGGGTGGACAAGTTCCTAGGCTACAATGTACTTGGAAAGTGGCCATAGGATTGGAATCACTGAAATGGCACTGGGGAAATGCTGATACGGAGCAGAGGAACCTCCTTAGGTTGGAGTCGGTATTAACAAGAGGTGGCCATGTATTGTATGGATTGCATAGTACTTGATAGCAAATTGGAAATACACAACCCATTCTCATGTATAAAAAAAAGCAACACAGGTCACATATTTTAATTTTAAAAAGTTTTGTCTCCCCTGGGCTACAGTAAACCCTGCTGTGACTGTGGCTGGGTTTACGTCGAGCACCTACCAGTGCCACGAGGCCTCATCCTCTTCTCTGCACACCAGGCAACCTTAATGGTTATCAATTCCCAGCATGTTGCCTAGCAACAAAGCCAATTGCCCAAAAGCAATCGGAATGAGATCAGGTTTTAGGACAGTGGCTCTCAATTAGAGGATGAAAAACTGAGAGCAGCAGATTCATAGCCAGCTCTCTTCTTATTAGCATCCACAGCACGGTCTGTTTTCCTTCATGAGGGGCTTCGTTGAACTGGGGGTTCAGGGACGCAGTGGCCCTTGGGGAGTCTGAAGGGGGAACCTTTATCCCATCACAGGTCCTCACTCTTTTGCCCTTACACTGGCCTGGAAAAGGAGGAATGGAGAGAGGACCATCCTCAGACCTCTAAGTCAGTGGCGAGTGACTACATAGCTGAGTGACCACTGGGAATCCTCGGGCTCTCTGGGACTCAAGCTGGGTTGGGTAATGCCATCAGAGAGGGCACTCATGCAGGTAGAGTAGAGAGAGGACTATGGATTGAGCCTGGACACCCAGGCTCACAGGAAGTGAGGGGGAACCAGTCGAAGAGGCAGGAAGAGACCCGTGGGGAAGGCGTGCAGGGGAGCAGCCACCAAGCGGCAGGGCATGGTCAGGCATGGGTGTGGTGGAGGGCGGGGAGGTGAGACTAGAGCTGACCTCAGATTCAGTAAGCGGAGGCCATCAGTGACCTCAAGAAGGGCATTTTTTAAAAGTTTTTATCGGTACCAGGGATGGAACTCAGGACTGCCTGCTGGCAAGGCAGGTACTTATGCCACTGAGCCAAATCTCCAGCCCCAAGAAGGGCATTTTTGATAGCAGGAATGGATGGACATCTTACTGGAGCCTGCTACAGAGAGGGAAGAGAAAGAGAAAGCTTGGCAGCAGCCATTTGCCCAGGGCTTTTCCCACACAGGAGCACGAGGTACAGGGAGCACGAGGTACAGGGAGGCAGCACCCCACAAGGCTGCCAGAGCAGAGGGTTGATGTCGGGTGGGTGACCTGGCCCAGGCACCTGTCTCTCCTGTCTTAGCTGAGGTCATCAGAGGGCTTTGCCTGCGCTTTGTGAACAGACTCTGCACCCCTTACAATAACCATTCCCCGCTCCCCACCACTAGTCCAGGTAAAGCCCTCCCTGTTTTTTTCCGGGGTGCCCTGTCCAGACATCTCTCCCCATCCCATAGTGCTGTCCATCTGGCCAACAGCTCTCATTGCTTTCTCTGGAGCCTAGGACTTGACTTCACCTCCCTCCTATTTTATTGTAGCTGCTTCTGATTTTCCCTCCAGACCTCGAGTTTCTTGGATTAAAGGCATGATTGGCTCCATTTCTCTAAACCTTGGAGGTGGCAGGTGCCATATATTGTGTTAAGGGTTTGATAATTGTTTGCTGAATGAATAGAGGACCCATGAGCAGCATCTAAAACATATTATAGGACACACAGTTGGGACCTCGCCTGAAAAAAATCTTTTCCCCCTTTTCTTCTTTGAACCAGAGAAGTGGCCAGGGGGTCTGAACAGGAAGATGTAGCTAAGCTTTGGCCCAGAGAGGTGGAAGCTTTCGATGCTTATGGGCCTCAACCTGGGGAGCGGCAGCAGTGAGCATCTCCACTGGAGGGAGCTTGGAGAAAGTTTCTCTTTAAAGAGACTCCTAGGTTTCAGAGACCCATTTTAACCTGGAGGTTGCCGGTCCCCTGGAAAAGCAGAACATGCGGCACTGCTGGGAATTTAGGTTGGGCAAATCCCCAGGAAGCGCACTGGGAAACTTGGGCTAGACATAGAGCAAGTGGGCTGGAAGCTGGACACCAAGAAGCTGGCTGGACCTCTTACTGGGTCAGGATGAAAAGTGTGTGAAGAGTAAGCAGACATGAAAAATTTACGTGGTCACTGGGCAGATGAGTCCTTGGATCTCCTTCAAGGCTCTGCTTAGGATTCTAGAGTGTACCAGGACTTGGCTATTCTCCAGTGTGTTTACTTTTCTCTCATTGCTGAGACAAAATATCAGACACCCAAAATTAAAGGAGGAAAGTTTAATTTAGCTCATAGTTTGTATAGGTTTCAGCCCATACCCAGCTAACTCCAAGGAAGAGTGGCACATGGGTGAGGGTAGAGAGAACAAGGCCAGCCTCTTTCTGCCCCTTACATCATATCCAGTCTACTAGGTTAGGGTGGTCCCAATCCCACCAGCAGTCACCACACTTAATCCCAGCACCCTTAATTCTGGCAGCGAACTATGAGTCAATGACAAATTCTAGATTAGCCACCTCCAGAAAATCCCCATCTAAAGTTGCATGAGGCTTTGGGTGGACACCTAGACATTAACTATAACACAAAGCTTAGCTGTGTGGAGCCAGTGTAAGTGTCCAGCACTCTGGTGGCCTCTCTGGCTGGGAGGAGTCCTTCAGTTTGGGACACTCAGGAAGTGATGCAGACCTAAAGCCTTGGAGGTCTCACAGGTCAGGGAAAAGCTTTTGAGAAGTATGGGATCTTCTGCAATGGTGGGATCTCACAGTAGGGCAAAGGGGGGCTAAACATTTGTTGTGTCAACAGGGCTCAGCAGGAGTGCAGAGGAGACACTGAGAGAAAAGAGGCAGTGGGCAGGGCTTCTAGTGGGGTGGTGTTCAGATGGACCTGGATCTGGCATCTGTAGCCCTCAAGACTGGAAGAGCCTTGAGAACAGAAAGCTTGCCCTGACTATCCCAGTGGACAGTGAGTTGTGCTTTGCCTGTGTCCTGCTGTGGAATTTCCAGACTCCTCAGGAGAGTGATCCACTACAAATTTTGTGCATGGTGGACCAGAGAGCTCAAGGCCTTCTCTGGTGAACCCTGGAGCTTTGATATTTCTGATGAAACCAGGACACAGCTGTCCTGCTGCCCTTCTGTGCCCCATCTGTCCTGTGATGACACAGGTCCATTCTCCTCAGGAAGTGAATGAGCCATGGAGCCAGGTGCCTCCCCTAGGAGGGGCCAACCAGGGGGTCTTCCCAGCTCTGTGCTGACCCACATCTCCCTTAATCCATTGCTTGTGTCACTGGGCCCTCAGGGAGGCTGTGCCACCCCATCAAGTCTTACACACTGGTGCCTTTAATGTGTTTGTGGTTTATATGGATTTTGGCCACTGTAAGCTTTCACTCATCAAGTGAAATTCAGATCAAAGCTTGCAGGTATGCAGGGAGAGGTCTGAGAGCTGTCTTGTCATTTTAGAACTCTCGAGGATGTGGGACTAATTCAGCACCAGCACAAGCAAACTCAGGCCCTGTCTGGAGGCATGAAGAGGAAGCTGTCCCTTGCCATCGCTTTCCTGGGCCAGTCCAGGACCGTGGTCCTGGATGAGCCCACCAGCGGGGTGGACCCTTGCTCCCGCCGTGGCCTCTGGGACATTCTGCTCAAGTACCGGGAAGGTAAAGGCCGGGTTCTGTTCTGCTTTGTCTCCTAGGAAGTAGAGGCACAGGAAGGGGGCTACTGTGTATGAAGAACCCAGCCACATCCCAGTGAGGACAAATGCAATCCTCATAAGAACCTAGGGTCATTCTGTCTCTGTAGCGGTCAGAATTGCTTAACCCTGTGCTTGACCTTTGAACTCAGTCTTAGCGGTGACACCATCTGTGGTCATTGCCACACATGCTTTCAGTTGTCCACCATGAGACCAGCTCTGGAAACACAGATTGTGAGAGGAGACTTTCAGAGATTGTACAGGACAGACCTTCCTGGGTCACTCTACTTCCTGCCACCATGGCAGCACACCCAAGAAACTTAACCCGTAGGGAGGACAGGTTACCAGGGCTCACAGATTCAGAGGATTCAACTCATGGCTGGTTGGTCATGTTCTTTGGGCCTGTAGTGATTCAGTACGTCATGGCAAGAGCACATGAGAAGCAGGGTGTTGACATCGGGGTGCCCAGGAAGCAGTGAGAGAGATGAGAAAGGACCACAGTCCTCCCCAGTATCCTCCTTCCACCAAATGTTCTCACCTATAGCTTCCACTCCTACCAGCACCTCAGGCTGGGGAGGAACCTTCATCAGATGGGGCTCTGTGGGCAGCTGAGATCCAGACCTTTGCAGGTGCTTTTCTTAGATGGGGAAACTAAGGTACAGAGAGATAAGGGTGTGATTTGCTCTCAGCTGTAGAGAAAATTCAGTGAGCCCCAGGCGAGTGAGGGTCTCTGGCTTAGCAGGATGTGTTTATCCTCTCCTTCACCGCTCATTTCCCATCAGGGACATTGCATGGACAGTTACCAACTTCCGGCTCCTGGCTCTTTCTGTGCTCCAACAGCTGCCATAGGAACTCTGTTAGAAACATTTTCGATTGGAAAGAAACCTGGTCCTGAAACGTCTTGGTGCTGGTAAACAAATGGAAAAGCTTCAGAGACAAAATTAACACAGAATCTTCTACAAGGCTATTTTGCTTTGGGTCTCCTCTTCCTGAGTCTAAGGCCTTTGCCTGACTTGAGTGGGAGGCTCTACCTCCCAGGGGGCAGAAGGGGTTTTTCTACTGAAGCAAAGCAGAGACAAACAATGGGGTGAGGGACGTCCCTCTCTTGAGAACCCAGGTGCTGAGCCGAAGCACATGTGTCAGTTTGAGTCTCACAGAAGACGCTGTCGCTGTGACTCTAGCCCAGGCTGGAACAAGAACAGGGAAGGGTAGGATGTGGGGTATTGTAGGCAGGACCTTTTCCTTTCTGTCCACTGTTTCAGAGGAATTACACAGGAGAGGAGCATGGGCATAGGGAAGATGGAGCCAATGGATGTGGCCTTGTGCTCTGCTCTGGACTTGGTTGTGGGCTGGGCAGTTGCAGGTGGGCTGCATCGGAGTTCCTGAGGCTGAGCAGACTGCCGAAGTCCAGGGAGGTTCCCTGTTCTCTCCCAGCTCTGGACTTCCAAGGAGGAGGGGATGGAGGCTGCAGCAACAGGACAAGGGGATCGTTGGAGATGGCTGGGTGAAAACCAGGGTGGATTGGTCAAAGGGTCTTTGACAGCGAGGACCCAAGACAGGGAGGAGATGGGGAGAGCTCTGTCCTCTGAGTTGATCCTGTTACTCTGGCCACATTGCGGATGCTAAGGTGGGAAGAGGATGGCACCACATGGGCCCCAGCATCACTCAGAAACTGTAGGAGGCCAATCACATTGTGTACAGTTGTCCCAGCCTGCCCCGAGCCTCCTGACATGGTTGGCCTTCCTGCTCTTTGGGGAGGGATGTGGAAGACACAGACTTGAGGACACGGAAAACTTCAGTGCATGACATGATCACCACCTAAGGGAATTGATTACATTGTGAGAGGAGACTCAATTAGATTGGACTAGTGATGTCACTGCCCTCTTGAGCAGGGTCTGATGAGACAGATGAAGGACAGAAAAACAGATTCCATGACCTTGTACCTGTAGGTTGTCCTGTGCGTTAAATGGGGTGAGCCCACTACCCTTGTTTATTTTAAAATCAGAGGCAGGTTCTTGAAGGTTTAGCTGTCAGAACATTCAGAAAATCAGCATGAAGCTTCCTTTGGGTAGAAAACCAGGCACAGTGCAAGTCTGAGGAGAAGAGAGCTTTCTCCATCTGGCCATTAGACCCGAGGTCTTCTCTTGGTGTCGTCTGTTGGTCTTGTCTTTCGAAGGCTTCTTCACTGACTGAAGTGTAAGTGGATTAGATGGGCAGTACCACAAGAAAAATCTGTCTCAAAAAATCAAAATGTGTAGCCAGTTCTGCAAACAAGCCCAAACTTCCAGGTGGATGACACAGCTCCGTGGAGACAGATCTAAAATCATGCAGAAACAGTGTCACCTGCAGAGTAGACAGATTCTTCTGTCACAGCACAGTCCTTCTGGGTGTTCAGTCTACAGAGCCTTCGCGTGTGGATTTCTTGTTTATTGAAGGAGCTCTTGGTCCTGAGGCCAGTGCTTCTGTGCCTCTGATGAGAAGACCAGTAAAGAAGCAGAAGATTCCAGAACAGATTCACACACCACAGCTAAGTTCCTGTACGGGATTCTGGGCTCTCTCTGTGTGACCTGTGTGACCAAGGAGAAAGGGTCAAAGTCCTCTAAGCTTCGGTTTTCTTCTTTGGAAAAGGAGACAAGTCACCTCACCTCCCAGGATTTTTCTAGAAGTAAATGTGCTCTCTGGGGAAGCTTGTAGTGTCTGAGGAGAATGGAGAAAGGTTGTTGTCCTTTGAGGGTTAGGATGGGTCTCGAGTCTTCTGTTACATCCACAAGAAGTCACCAGGGATCAGACATCTGTGACCTTGATGGAAGTCTTTTCAGAACATTGATGCATTTTCCAGCTGTGCTGAGGTATTGGGGTCAGAGGAAACTTGTAAATACTTGTTCTGCACAGCTTTAATAGTTGAGTGTATCATAAAGTGACTAAGTCAATGTAGTCAAAGTGTCCTTTCACCTCAAAAACTTATTTTTCACTCATGTGCAGAGAACAGTCACTGTCTAATCTCTTAGCTATTTTGTATATCTGATGCGTTTTTATTAACAGCAATCACTCAGGATGGTGCTGTGCAGAACATTCCAGAACTTACTCATCCTGCATGACTGAGGCTTCGGCCACTGTCTCCCCGTCTCTCTTCTAAACCTCACCGTCCCTGGAAGCTGCCACTCTGCGTGCCACTTGGGGCATCTAGGTTGGAGTGGACTCTTGTTCTTAGACCTCTCACCTCGCGGAAGCTCTGATGAGAGTGTCTGACCTGCCCTGTCCCAGGCAGGCACCGAGCAGATCTCCTCAGCAGCCAAGAACCACAGGGCAGCACATCGCTAGCAGGGAGCCGGTCCCTTCTGCTCCCAGTGTGCACTTTGTGCTGACCCTCTGGGTAACTTTTTACAATGAGTTAAAGTCCCAGCAGTTTACTCCCCCTTCACTGCTGGGAAATGTACAAACAAGTCAAATTAAAACCCTGTTCCGCTTCTCTCCCTCTGCACATTTGCTGTTGCAGTCAGGGCCGTCCATGTGTGTCGAGGTGAAACCTGCCCTGTCTTCCTCCCTTTACCTGAGGTGTGCTTCCCCCAAGCCTTTAGCGTCTTAGGCCTCTGCTCTCTCCCAAGGTAAATCAGAGGCCTCTATTGCCTGAGAAGAGATAACAGAACTCGACAAGACGCTGGAATTAATGGGGACACAGATGAACTTCACACTCTGTCTGCCCAAAGCAGCCATGGCTGCGGACTTGGGGGCCTCTGTCTTGCTGGGAAGGCCCTGGATTCAAGTCTCCTACTCTGCTCCCCACAGGTCCCCTCCTCCTCCTGCAAACCCTGGTGATCTGAAGCTGCTGTCACTTTTCCAGGGAAGGACTATGGTTCCATCTGATGCAGGAACCTGTGTGGTCTCCTGGTCCTTGATCCCTCGGGTCACATGCCTACACCATGGCCATTTCTGACATCACTCTTTTATTTTTAAATGTTTTACCTATATTGTCACATGTGTATTAGATCTGACTTTTTTCGGGAGGGTTAATAACATTTGCATTGCACTAAAGTAGTAGAAGTTGAATATTAATGGCATACTTCTCTAAATATTACTTGGTGTCTTGTTTTGCTCTGAGCGAGCGATGTTCGGTTTATTTTTTGTCAGCACGTGTTTGTGACACACAGTGGTTATGCTCATCTTGGGGAACTGGCACATGCAGCTCTCACGTCTGCATTGCTTTGCCTTCTGCTTCCTCTCCACACCCTCCTGACGCCTCCATCCAGAGACCCTGTCAAGCTACCTCCCCACTAACTCGGAGCTTGGGTTTTCTGTCCCAGTGACACTTGCACAGATCATGGCCTCTCCTTCAGTGCACAGGAGATGACAGTCACCTGACCGGAGCAGATAGAGGAATCCAGCCCGACCCTCTGAGCCCGTCTGTGTCCTCTCCATCCTCTGCAGTGAGCTGTCTGTGTCTGCAGGACACGGGGCTTTGGCTTTTGCATCTTAGCTTCACCCCAGCATCTGGCAGACACTGCTGGTTCAGAAAAGGAGGGAGCTGTGAGCACAGTGTCAGGGGGTTGGGAGGAGCTCCAGAGCAGGTTGTTCAGGGCCTCTCATTTGCAAAACAGCCTTGGTTAAGTCTTTCCACAGTGTCTCTTTCAGTTTTCCCTGCCTAAAATTGATGGTGAAAGCCCAATGCGGGGGCTTATAATTGTAATCCCTGTACTCAGGAATCCAAGGCAGGAAGATGGCGAGTTGGAGGCCAGCACGGGCTACAGACCCTTTCCCACAAAAACAAGGGACAAATGCAGAAAATCAGTGTTGGAGTGATTCGAAGAAGGGCAGGTGTTGGCTCTGATGTTCTTTGTGCTCACACCCAGGCCGCACGATCATCTTTAGCACCCACCACCTGGATGAGGCAGAGCTGCTCAGTGACCGCGTGGCCATCCTCCAGCAGGGGCAGCTCCGGTGCTGTGGGCCTCCCTTCTGCCTCAAGGAAACAAGTGGCCGGGGGCTCCGCCTGACGCTGGCAAAGCAGGTACAGATGGGCCTGTGACCTTGGTCTTTTCTCCTTCCTCACAGAGGAGTGGAGGCCTCTCCTGCATAGTGGCCTGGTGTTAAAGCATTTCCTCTCCAGGGTCAGGGTTGGAGACCTGGGATACTGGGCTGCATTTTGACTCTAGCAGGAAATGCATGTGTCAGAATGACTTGTCAGTGCCAGCTCCCAGAAAGTACCAGGGCCCTGCTATTTTAGAAACACTGAGCCCAAGGGTGATACTCAGTTCAGGAGGTTAGGATCACACTACAAGGTGGAAGAAAAGTAGGGAGGGACTGAAGCAGTGGTGGCCACAATCTTGGAGGCTGTGCCTATATCACATTAGGCATTGTCATTGCCTGGTGTCTACAGGGACTGGAGACAGCAGCTATGGGGTTGGATCAGGGGTTTGTGTGTATCACTGCCCAGCTCTAGATAATCCTTGGCTAGCCCCAAACCATTTGCCTTTGAACTCTGTGTGGCCAGTGTCTTGTTGCTGAGACTAAAATACCTGAAATGCACAACTTGAAGGAAGAGAGTTTACTTTGGCTCACGGTTCTGAGGGTACCGTTCATGTTGGTTGCTCAAGGAAGGAGCATCATGGCTCTGGTGGAGCAAAGCTACTTATTTCATGGAATCTGGGAAACAGAGAACAGAGAAGATCCAGAGAGAGAGCCAGACAGGTGGGGCCTGGACACAGGGTACACCATTCCAGGCCAGGCCCATGACACAGCACCTCCAACAGGCCCCACCTCCTACCAGTGTAGTTAGTACTGAGCACATACTTGGGTGGATTCCGAGATTATGACCCACCTTCCAGAGCCCTCTTCTGAACACATCAGCATTTGGGAGTATTTCCCATAGATCAGAACCATGACAGCCTCCTGCCATGGTTCCAACTTGTTTCCTTTGCTGCCCAGGGGTAAATATGAGCACTTTGCAGACCTGGCAGGACTGCTTTCCTCTTCAGGTGGGGCCTTGTATCTAGTTTATGAAGTCAGCCCTGTTTCCTGTAGCCTGAGAGCTCGGACCTGGGTCTCCCTCTGTTTCTTCCGGGGGGTAAGGGCAGCTCAGCTTAAGTTTGCTCATAACTAAGATGAGTGTGGCTCCCTGGGAGCCAGCTTAAGTTTGCTCATAACTAAGATGAGTGTGGGGCCCAGCCTGGTCAGGTTTAGCACTGTGTATTTCTATTTTTTAAAAAAGAAGATGCTGGGGATGGTGCCATGCGCCTCTTATCCCAGCACTCTGAGAGTGCTGGGAGGCTGAGACAGAAGGATCACAGATTTAATCCAAGCCCGGGCAACTTAGTGAGGCCCTGATTCAAAATAAAAAGGAGCTGGGAATGTAGATCAGGGTAAAGGTCCTGGGCTCAATACACAAAAAAAGGAGGAAGAGAGGAAAATATGCAACGGATGATTGGAATGCTTGTTGCCTAAATGTACTATTGCAACTCAACTTTCTAGGTACAGTTTTGTGGTCACTTGCTTATGTGCATACATGCTAAGATTAGTTGGCGTGGGTTTTCCCTGACCTCTTCCTAATCCTCACTTGCTTTTCCTCTGACAGCTCTCTGTGCTGGAAGCCCACAGTCCCAAGGACACAGCTCGCCTTACAGCCCTGATCCAGGCCTACGTCCCGCAAGCTGTCCTCAGAGGCATCAGCGGGCGGGAGCTGACCTATGCTATCCCACAGGACGCAGATAAGACCTGCTTCAAGGGGCTTCTCCAGGCCCTGGACCAGAACCTGCAGCCCCTACACCTCGAGTGCTATGGAGTCTCAGCCCCCACCTTGGAGGAGGTACAGAGGAGTCCAGGGCACGCTTTATGGGTTATGTTTTCTGGGCAGCTCTGCCTCAGTGAGGGGATGTGGGTAAGGCATGGGAGTTTTATTGTTTAAGAGTTCTGGTTAGTATCAGAAACAATGGAAACCAAACACTGAATACAGCACACCTGACAGGTGAATGCGGTTTATGGGAAATTGCATTTTATTTTTGAGACAGGGTCCCCCCACAGGGTTCAGGATGGCCTTGTACTCGAGTCCAAAGCCCAGAGTGGCCTCCAACTCACAGTGATCTTACTGCTTCAGCCTCCAAAGTGCAGGGATCACAGCTGTGCACTGCCACACCCAGGTTAGGATTATCGTTCTTATATCTGAGAACTCTATTGGATCCAGGTCTGAGCCAGCATCATTAGGGGTGGCAGCTCTTGAGTCCTCAGCACTGGGTGGCTGGCCAGTGGCATTTCCTCACCTGGTGGGGAGGTACCTGCTCCTTCACCATGGACTTCTACTGTCTGGAACTCTGGCCTGTATCCTGCAGAGGGCCAGAAGTGAACATGCAGTGTGCAGAATCAGCTGGCTCTGGCCAGCTCTATCCCTTAGACCCTTGAAACCTCCTTCCCTGCCCTGTGCTGCAGTGACCAGCCCACCCCCTCCTGCGGTCTCTCCAAGCATCCTGCCAAGGGACTCAGATTCCCAGATCTTCTGGGTGGTGGAGCAATGGTCATGTGACACTGCAGGCTGACCTTGTGCGGGTTCTCAGGCCCCTGAGGGAGCTGAAGCTGAATTTTTGTTTATAATGGTCTTATTTATAGAGTGCCACAGGTTTAAAAATATGCCCTACAAACTAATGTAAAAAGAATTCTGGAAAGAATTCTGGAGCAGTTACTCTCCTGCATCACTTCCTGGAGTAGCAGTAGTGGCTGAATATGTTTTCCCACTAGTAACTGACACTAGAAAGGCTGATTAACAGTTAAACAGCGCAGTCCTCAGGGAGTCAGAGTCTGACTGCTAGCTGTGTTCTGAATGGAAGATATGCGTCCAGGTCTCTAATGTGGGAGAGCAGACAACTTCCTATGTGACCAGTCCCAGGCAGGTCACCCACTGGCAAAAACATGGCACACAGCCAGGCATGGCAGCACACACTTGCAATCACAGCACTGTGGGAGGCTGAGGCAGGAAGATAGCAAATTGGTGCCCAGCCTGGGTACCTTATTTACGTAGTGAGACGCCACAGTCTCAAGATAACAAGGTGTTGGGGATGCGGCTCAGGGCAGGGGCCCAGAGTTCAGTCCCCAGTGGTTCAAAATAGCCAGTCAGACAGACAAATGCTACAGGACAGTGAGCTATTTTGATAGAGCAGAGTCACTCTCACCTGGCTTTTATTACAGCATACAGTGATAACTGCTCTATTTAATTATTAGCTGTTGTTAGGAGTTTGCTGACAATTTTTTCACCTACCTTTTATTTCACTCTTTATATTTTGGGTTTTTCTCATATAAAAGAAACCACACAGTATACGAACTCATGGTCTGCTTTATTGCACGTGACATTATGGCATCAAAGTCATCCACCCTTCTACAGATGATAAGAGGTTGTCCTTCTTTATGGCACAGTAGTGCTCCACTGTGGGTAAACGCATTTTCCTTATCTGTTCACCTGTTGATGGCCATGGAGGTCACTTCGGAGATTCAGCTGTGGGTGTCTATGGATCGCTGTACTGTGATAGGTTTAGCTCTTTGAGAAAAAGATCCGATCAAAGCTGAGCTGGATGAGTGCTTCTCTGCAGGGGCAGTACAAGTGGCCAGGAAATCATGAGAAATGCTCAGCATCTCTGACTGCAACTCAGTTCTGAAGGCTGATGAAGCTGTCCTACATGGTCTGTGCCACAAGTCATGCAGCTCGTGTCCCAGAGAGCCATGCTTGGACCCAGGCTTCCCCATGGGGGTCCAGTTCTCCAGACATGCCTGACCTTGGGGTGCGATGCTCTGTGACCCTGGTCAGCCAGGCTGCAGGATTAAATTTCCTGCTCTTTATAAAGAGAGAAGTGTGGCCCCATGGAGACTGGTGCAAGCAGCCCCCCTCCCCACAGTGGAGCTGTCACCTCTGAGGTAAGCGGGGGGCGGGGGGCTCTTGTGTTCTTTGATCCCAAGTCTGGTCACCAAGGCCACCTCCATGGAAGTCTGGACGCCTGGGCTGCCTGGCTAGCGTCATCCCCTGGATTCTGCCCTGTATCCGATGCACTGTGTGTTTTATCTCCTGTGCTAGGCATGGGTCTGCTCTCACCTCCGCAGGCTTGTGTGGCTTCTGGCTGAACTTCCTGTGGGATCCCACCAGAGACAAGGTGGCCTCTGAGAGTAGCAGCAGGTTCAAGGGCTTCACCTGGCTAGATCCATAACTCAGCTCTTGTGAGCCTCCATTTGTTGGTCTTTAAGTTAGAAAGATGAGAACGGTCCAGGTGGTTCAACTCCAGAGATGACAGCATGGCAGTGCACGCCTGTTATCCCAGCCCGCCAGTAGGCTGAAGCAGGAGGACTGCAAGTTTGGGCCCAGGCTGGGCAAGCGAGTGACTTAGAGACCTTGTCTCGCAATAAAAAACAAGCAGAAAGCTTGGTGTAAAGGGTGTGGTCCAACACCCAGTACCAGGAACAGCAGAAGAAGCCAGCAGCTGCTACCTGCATAGGCAGCACACAGACAGCTGGCATCCCATGCAGTGGCAGTGGGGTTAGGTCACTGCTTCTTCTCCGGGTGCATTGGGACCTGGGTGTGCATGTTGAGGCATCCAGAGGATACACCCCACCTGTCCCAGGCTCTGGGCTCAGAGGGGCCCATTCTTCACCTGGGGCACAGGTAGACGTGAGTGCCAGGCTCACCCTGGTCCTTGCAGGTGGATTTATTTGCCCACAGTGAGCCATCAGGAGGAACGAGCCCTCCTTTTTGGGGCAGGGCGTCATGTGTGTTCCTAGTAAAGCCAGTGACTGCAGGGGTCCTTTTGTCATTTGCCATGAGGAAAAGTGGATTCTGTGGGATGCTCACCGTGAATATTTTATGAATTTAAACCTCACAGAGAAACAGCACTGAAGAGGGGGTTTATCTGCTGAGTGGTCGCTCAGCTCTGTAGCACTCTGTTAATAATTGGGGTTTAGATGACTGAGCAGAGCTGTGTCCAGGAGAGCCCTGAGAAGTATGAGGGTTTATAATATTTCCCGAAGGGCTTATTTGTCAGCATAACCGATACAATAATTCACTCAGTGTTTATTCCCCTTCACTCCTTGTCTGGAGCTTGCAGTTTGAGTGTGATTTTCAGCTGCATCTAAAATGAAGACAAGGACCCCAGGAGTGGGCAAAGCCAGCCCCTTGTGCATAGGTTTGCTTGGCTTGTGCTGCTTATTACCTGGGCAGAATTATTGTCAGCACCCATTTTCTCTGAAAATGTTACTGTAGTAAAAACGGAAAAAGTCCTCTTACACAGGTCACAGAAAGCTGCAAGCCAGTGGATGGAAGCCAGTGAGGAGCTGTGGCCACCAGCCTGTGACTGTGTGGCCAGGGAGGGCCTGGGAACCAGGATGATCACTCTCACCCTGTGTCTTCATTTTATCGCTTTTTCTCATGATGAAGCCAGGCAGATGCCGTGGCTAGGATTTCATTTTCAAAATTGATTTTAAACCATTTTGTAAAGCAGCTTTAGGGTAACATAAAAAGTGGGGAGAAGCCGCAGAGGCTTCCCATTGCCCTCTGTGTCCCTCCATCCCCAGCGTCTCTGTCAATGTCCTCCTCCAGGCCACACGGCTGTTGGTCACATGTGAGTGAGAGCTGGGTGGTAGCCACCTTTGGTAAAGCCAGAGTGTCATCTTCAGCTCCGTGAGCAGCAGCCCGGGTGTCCTCTGAGGTGGCTGCAGCCTTTGGCGTCCCTGTAAGCAGTGGGGAAGAGTTCCGGCCACTCCGCATCTGCCCAGCTCCTCTGGGTCCATCGGAGGCCTGCGGTGTCTCGCTGTCGCTGTTTGCATTTCCTGCGGCACGGGCATCATGCTTGCCAGCCCCACGCAGTTTGTAGGGAGGCATCTGTGATGATCTCTGGCTGGTTTTTAGTGGAGCTATTTGTTCTCTGAAAGCTGAGATTTAAGTTCTTTATTGACTTCATTTTTCTTGCTTCTGAACTAGTAGTACATTTCCTATGTCCCAAAAGAAGCTTTCTTTTGGGTTAAATAATACAATATTGAGTTCAGATTATGGATTTCAAGGTACTATACAGAGATGAGGACTTGTCAATATTTCTACTATTATTTATGCTCAAAATAAATGTGCAGTTGTACATTCTAGGTTCAGCATATCTGTATTTTAATCCTTTTATGTTTAAAATGCTTCACTAGTTATGAGTGTAGTATCACCTCTAAGAATTCTTTACATTGTATTCCTTTGACAATATTTCATTACAGTATTCCGTTCTCCAAATTATTTTGAGTTTATTCTTTTCGAACCATGCTACTTTGAACGTTTGTTAATCTTTTCTAAAAAAAAATTGTCTGTCTGTCATCTATCTATCTGTCTATCCATCCATTTGTTTAATTGGTTTAATCACACAGATAAATCCTTTTTATGAATTCAAAAAAGTTGAAATTTGAAAAATTCAGAGCTGTAGAGCCACACAGTAGAGCTGGAGACCAGCACAATCCAAGGGCAGGTTTCCACCCCCCTTACCTTCTTGAAGGAGTAATTCATCCGTGTAACTTTCTTTGGGGAGCTGTTTTTTCTTTATCAAAGATTCATGGCCATGCTGTTATTCACCCCAATAACAAGACCAACCAGGAGGAACAGAACAAGTTACTCAATTACTTTGGAGATGTAATCCGTGTTCCTCCAATTCCTCGCAGTAATTTTCACCTTCTCCATGTAGTACGTGCTTTGCACGGAATAGGTCCTAAATAAATATTGATTTATCAGATCTCAGACACCTGTCTTTTTATCTCACCATGCACACATGTTTAAAAAAAATAGTACGCTGTATCAAGACAGCCATAAAC